AATGGGAGTTTTAAATAAATCCTTCCCAAGTTTCCAGGCTGTGTGGAGTTCAGTGGCATTCCCTGCGGGCACACAAGTGTGTTTCAGCCCCTCCTGCAGAAACACTGACCCATTTGCTGTCAAGCTGGGTGCCACGCGAGCTGTTTCTCATTTGATCGTCGTTGCAGTTTTGCAGATGAGGAGCGTAGACCTCAGCAAGTCAGACCACGCCCCCTTGGGCTGGGAAGGGCGGGTCTGTGATTCAAGCTCAGTTCGGCTTGATCCTGAAGCCCAAGCTTGTCACCCATTGTGGAAGCCTATCTGGCATTTCCTGGTGCCTGGAGTTGTTCACAGCCACAGTCCTAAATCATGGTGCTCCTCCAGGCCACTTGGGGTGCAGAGGCTTGTCAGGGGGCTGTCAGCCATGTCCTCCCCACCCCTCCCTTTTCCTCCTTGTGGAACGGAGCACCTGGCAAACCATATTCATTAAGGAAAGAGACACACTAGGGACAAGGACCACAGAGCTCAGGGCAGACCACCTCGGTGTTCCAAACCTCCTTTAGTAATCATGGTGTCTTAATTGGGCTCCCCGGATTCTACAGACCTCAATGAGGATTCAAGGGCAGGTGGTTTATCTGAGAGGTGGTCCCAGGCCAGACCAGCAGGAGCATGGGGAGTGATCCTGGTGTCTTAATTGGGCTCCCCTGATTCTACAGACCTCAACGAGGATTCAAGGGCAGGTGGTTTATCTGAGAGGTGGTCCCAGGCCAGACCAGCAGGAGCATGGGGAGTGAGACAGGCAAGGGAAGGCAGCCAGTGCTGGGTGCCTCAAATAGCAGGTTATAGCTTTGGGCAACTGGGGTCGAATCCCATGTCTACACACCTCTGAGTCATCCCACCTAAGGTAGAGGAAGCTGGAATATTCACCAATCAACTTCCACCCATGGTTGTTTGAGGTCTGCAAGCATTCCAGCCAGCCCACATTTCCAGCCAGAGAAATGTGGTTCTCCAGTCGAGGATCTTACAGGCTTGCAGTGGAAAGTGGCTGCACAAATTAGCAATAAAAATGACAACCAGAATACAAACAATAGTGCCTGCTACTTCAAGTATCTGTCCTCAACGCTTTACTTGCCCTGTAATATTAGCCTTCTGTGCAACCCTGTGAGGCAGATGCTATGATTGTCCCCACTTTACAGATGAAGATACTGAGGGTCAGAGTGGGTCCATGACTTGCCCAAGTTTCACAGCCAAGAAGTCATGGTGTCAAATTTTGAAAACAGATTCATTCTGTAGATTGTCCTGACCACATGTCCCTTTTTTGCAGGAGAGAGTGCTGTCTTCGGGAAGATTCAGGCTCGTAGACATCTCTCATTGGGAAATAGAATGTGTCCCTCTTACACAGGGGTTCTTGAGCTCTGGCGTGCACTTGCTAAAAATTCACATGCGCAGTGCTTACCAAATAGGACCTTGGAGGATAAGCCTTGGGGATCTGATTCTGAAGCAGGGCTCTACCTTTAAATTATATGGTAGTAGGTTTTTCTTCCATCGGCAGTGAGAATGAAAAGTCTAATTTGGGTGGAAGCGTGTGTATTTCTTGCTGGAGAAACAAGTCTTCAGAAGTGGGACATAGTGTGTCTGTCTGCGCTGTGCCAAAGCCTCATCTCAGTCCCTCTGCCTCTGTCCACCAGGGTCTGTGTGATTTCAGGGCTAGGCTAGTGCTGCTAACTCAGCAGGTCCTGGGCGTGCTGGTGCTAGTTCTTGAGGTCTGAACCTCCATGCAGGGTTCAAGTGTCCAGGCGTGGGAGACGGATCCGCGGGTTTTCTGCATGAGCAGTGGGCGTGCACCTGTTCTGAGCGCTGCCCTCTGAAGCCCTGGCTGGAAGGACAAGCATTTCATCTCTAACCCTTTGGCCAGAGGTGAGGGAATGTTTTTCCATTACTGCAAAAGATAAACAAGGGACACTGAAAAGGAAAATGCGAGGAGGAGGCAGGAAAAAGGCCTCGCCTGTCCTGTCCTGGTTCGGAGGTGGTCCCAAGGCTGCATTTAACCACTTGCCCCTGCTTCAGAGCACTGTGCATAAGAGCCAGTGGGCTTCCTCACATCTCCCCATCACCATTCCAGCTGGGCTTTTCAGGGGCGACTCGCAGGTGGGAGTGGCACAAAGGAAAAATTCCCCTCTGGAAGCTTCCAGGGTGGAGTTGAGCTATTTCAAATAGGAATGAGTGCAGAAAGTTCCTGGTTCAACTTTCCTTTGGCAATAGCAGATTGCCTGACTCACGGCTTCCCAAACATCAGTCCGAGCTTGTTAGAGCTCTACAGAATCAAATGCAGATGCCTTGCTGGGGCTGCTGGGGCCCCTGCCCACCTCCCACTCCCCATGTCTTCATCACTCTTAGAAACCCCTTTATTCTTCCCCACCGCCAAGTTGTAGAGCAAGGCCAATGGAAGTTTTGGAGACATGCGCATCGTGGTTGGAGCTGGACTTGGGACCTCTGACTCTCACTGGCTATTTGACCTTGGCAAGTTATGCACATTTGCTGGGCCTCAGTTTTTCAGTCTGTAAAATGAGGCTAACACTAGCTCCTACGTTGCAGGGTTGCTTTGAGGATTGAAACAAACTGTGTGAAGTACTGAGAACATCGCCTAGTACATTGTAAGCACTGTGTGAGTGTTAGCTCTGATTTTTCCAGAGTTATAGGATTTTTATGATATTCATGACCAATTAGTACCTCCTAATATTTTTCAACCATCTGAGACTTTTAGGTGCCAAGAGCTGCCACCTCTTTTTGAAAATTCCAAATTGCTCAAGCCACCTTTTCCCAGTCTAATTCATTTGGTCACCACACTGTCATGATCTTGTCGTATTTATGTAGCAGCCCCTACATTTAATTATTTATTATTTATGACCTTTTTAACTTAAATAACTTTATTTAAAGATGAAAATGTATTCTATTATCATGAATGGAAAATCGGCCTTACTTGCCATTAATAAGCAACCAGAAAAACATAGACATTCCAATGGAAAAATACATTTATTAAATCCCCTGTGGATACCGTTGCCTGCCCGAATCTGGGACTGGGGTCAGCACATGGCCGAGAGATGTAAAGATGTGCTGGGGCAGGAAACCTCCTCCCTGATGCAATCAGAGAGAAGGACCTGGAGACGGACTAATGCTCTAAGGCCCTCTCGATGTGATTGGACTTTGTTTCATACTGCCCATGCCTCCATGCTTCTGCTCAGCACTCCCAGGGGCCCCAAGTCCAGCTTTTCTGTATCAGAGAGGAATTCAGGGCCCTGTTAGGGCCATAAAAGACTGAACACAAGAGAAATTGGGGAAATGTGCACAGACATTCCGAAGCCATCAACCAGACCACAGTTCTCACAGCTGAGCACATACCGGTCTCACCTGGAGGGCTAACTGCGTCTCAGCCCCAGGGTCTCCGGGTCACCAGGTCTGGTGAGAGGCCCCGATAGTTGCATTTCTGAAAAGTTCCCAGATGGCACCGATACTGCTGGTCTGGGAACTTTACTTTGAGAACCACTTTTTGAGAGCCCCTGACTAACTGGGGAAGTCAACGTCGAGTCTATGTCTGGGCGTGCAGAGCATCCTGGTAAGCGAACTATCCAATGTCTAGAGAGGAAGAGGGTGGAGGTCAAATCTGAAGTTCCCACCTCCCTTTACAGGGTATTTTAATATTAAACTTCTAAATAGGCTGAGGGTAGCCTTCTGGCAAAGATTTTGGCTTTGAAAGTTAGGCTGCTGTACACAAAGAGGGTAAGGGGATGCAGAGGGGTGTGAGCGGAGCGCTGATAACATCTGTTGGCATGTGTATCTATCCTATAGACGTGAACCTCTAAAGGGAAAGGACAAGCCAGGTCATCGCGATCTGGGATTTCTGTTACCTTTTTGAAGCCTGGCAATGACGTGGGGATGAGCACGGTGACAAGTCAGACTGGTCTCAGTGGGACAGATTTGACTCCAAACTCTTCAACTTAAAACCTGTTACCAATCTCATCCTAAGTGGGAGCCTTGGTTGGCTGTGTCCTGTAGCTTGAGCCTTTATGAAAAATGAGGCTGCCTTTGGCACCACTGACCCAGGTGTTCTACAAAGCCAAATCAGTTCATCTCAGTTTTTCCATCTATAAAATGGGGGTGATAATAATATCCATCTCATAAAGTTTTTATAAAGATCCAATAACACAGTGTTTAAAATGTTCGGTACAATGACTGGCAAATGAGTCTTCAAGCAAACAGTAGATGATTATTAGGACTAGACAGTGGTAGGGATGATAAATATAGACTGATGGGGAAAATATCTTTCAAAGCACAAAGTCCAAGTGAGCACTGTTGGTAAACAGTTGCTACCCGACTCTTGGACTACCCAGGACTGACCTGTGAGAGTGGGGTGGCAGCATATCTTTCCAGAGTTTATTTCCTGGATGCCAAGGATGACTTTACAGTAGTTGCTCCGACTCATCTCACAGCTTGGTATCCACAGCACCCAGAGCTCTTTGAAACAGTGCGGTGTCCCACCCACCCACCCACCTACCTATCCATCCACCCATCTGTCCACCCCCCCTGTCCAACCATATACCCACATACACATCCATCCATCCATCCATCCATCCATCCATCCATCCATCCTCCATCCATCCATCTGTCTGTCTGTCCATCCATCCACCCACCCACCTACCCATCCATCCATCTGTCCATCCATCCATCCATCCACCCACCACCCGTCTGTCTGTCCATCCATCCATCCACCCATCCATCCACCCACCTGTCCATCCCTCCACCCACCCACCCACCTACCCATCCATCTGTCATCCATCCACCCACCCACCTACCCATCCATCCATCCGTCCATCCATCCATCCACCCACCGCCTGTCTGTCTGTCCATCCATCCATCCACCTGTCCATCCACCCACCTGTCCATCCCTCCACCCACCCACCCACCTACCCATCCATCTGTCCATCCACCACCCATCCACCCTTCTCTGTCTTTCTCTCTCTCAGGTTAAAGTGCCACAACAAATGTACCAAAGAAGCCCCACCCTGTCACCTCCTGATCATCCAACGAGGAGGTAAGTATTTAACCCCGGCTGCCCCAGGGGTAGGGCTGGGGTGGGGGCTCCTGCAGGCCATCCGAGATAGCTGTCCCATCCAGACCCGTGCAGGCACCCACTGATGCCCTGGTGCTTGCCTGTCTTCTTTCTGTCCCTCCAGCACCCTTCCTCCCGACACCTGCCTGCATGTCCGCCCCCCGTGCCTCTTCTCCCTTTTCCTTGCCCGTGTCCTGGTCTCCCTGATACCCTAGTCCCACGTTCATCTCCCCCTTCCTAAGTCTTTTTCTCTCATTCTCGACCTCTCTTGTAATTTCCACTCTCTCCTCTCTTTTTCCCAGTCCCATCCCTTTTCCTTCCCACTTAAAAAGAGTGTTGGCTGAGTGTTTTTCCATTATGTGCTCTTCAGAGGCAGACAATTGGCCCTGCAGAAGTGAGCATGGGGAGGGGTCTGGCTTGGGCCGGCTGGTTTGGGCATCTGGGTTCCATCCCCTGGGGCCCTGGGAGTGTCTGGGCCTAGCTGACCAAGCAGGAAGGTGACAACGACCTCCAAGGGAGCCACTACCAGCCTCCCACCGTGCAAAAGCAAGACCAATTTAGCAGGAAGGAAAAACTAGAAGGAAAGGATTTTTCCTGCCTGCCAAGGACTCAGTAGGAGGCCCCTCCTGGGGAAGCTTTGCAGTCTAGCTTTCAAAATAGTTCCCCTGATTCTTGTCCTGCGGGGTAATAATCTCTGGACTTCATTAGCCACATTGCAGTTCATCCACGGGGAACTCTCTAGGCCTGTGCTGTTCAGTATAGGAGCTACTAGCCACATCGATTTCAATTTAGATTAATTAAAGTGAAATAAACATATAAAGTTAATTACCCCATCATACCAGCCACATTTGGAGGGCTTCTGGTAGCCACATGTGGCTACCATGTTGGATAGTGCAGAAAGCAAACACTTTCGTGGTTACTGAAAGTTCTACCGGGCATCACTGGTCTAGATAGACCCTTGCTATTTGAAGTGTGGCCCGTGGACCAGGGAACCTGTTAGATTTGCACGATATCTAGCCCAGACCTGAATCAGAGTCTGCGTTTTTAACAGCATCTGCAGATGAAGGGTTTAATGTTGAGAAGCCATACTCTACAGTAGGAGTTGCAAACTCAGGTGCCTACAGGGCCAGAGCAAGTACCCTGAGTGAGAGAAGCTGGCCAGGTGGAGCCGTGCAAAGTGCAGAGTGAGCCCAGGCCTGTCTAGGGAAGATAACCACTCAAGCACCCACATGGACCTGCACTGCAGCAGTTCTCCTGTTTCAAAGAAAAGCCCAAATAGTTTTTTGTGCATATACTTACTTTAAAATATTAGCAATTTATTACATTTTTAAAATGCTTGGTGACCACTTGCCCACCCCACCCTCCACTGTAGGTTGGATGGAGCCTTAGAGCCAACTTTGGGTGCCACCTGGTCCCCCTCGCACCCCTCCCTGCTCCCGGCCTCAGTTCTGTTGGCTCAGGGTAATCTGCCCTGCTTCAGAATGAACCCAAGGGAGACTTAAAGGAGGCAAATGACTGCCGAAAGTGCCGGGATGTGTGTTCTAAAACCTATGGGCCATTGGTTTCCGATGATCTTTGCATTGCTTACCTCCATGAGGAGAGGAAATTGCAAGTAAAGGAAAAGTTTTCACTCTCTTGCCCCCTCCCACCTCACATCCTTAATTAAGAACCATCTGTTCCTTGAACAACTGTATACACTCAGTGAGGCCATCTTAAACCTGAATTCTCACTGCTCTTGAGCCCTTGTCTTGGGTCAGCTTCCCTGGGGAAATCGCCTCCCGCCTCAATCGGTAAGTGGGCTCTGCCGGAGCCCGGCTCCCACGTGGTAACCAGAGCCAGCCTGCTGGAAGGCACCGGCTCTCTGAGGCTGACATCTGAAGAGAGGCCCCCTCACGCCTTCTAGGCTGTACCCCCTTTGCTCAGAGGCCACAGGTGCTTCTACATAAGAAGCAAAAGGAACTTTCCAGAAGTCCTCCAGCTTCTTGCTTCCTACCCCCCCTCCCCTGGTGGCAGGAAGTTGAAAATATAGTTGGTTTCCATGGTGATGGCAGCTCAGGCTCAGCAGAGAAATCAAATCCCTGGGTCAGTCCAAAGCTTTAACTTTACCACCAACACCCCCGTCCCGCCCCTGCGATGACATGCAGCTAACAACACTTCCAGGCATCAGATCTGAATTCAAGCTTCTAGCTTTCGTCCCTTCCTGTGGTCCCTAAAAGTAATAGAAATAGAAGAGAGGTAACAGAGAGAGGGGCTTGGATGATGTGGTTTGCATCAGGAAGCATTTGTTTAGCATTAGCTGTGTGCCCAGCTTTTTGTGTGGCTGTCGGGATGATACAAGGGGAAGGCTCTTCTTTCAGGGGTTGAGGTGGCCTTGTTTAGGACAGATGTTTCAGTGTGTGGCAGGGTGCATTAGCCTGAGAAATCCCACAAGTGACAGAAGATGACCCTAACACTAAGGCTGGAGCCAGGGCAGGTGGCTGTTTTGAGCTTGTCCACTGATTACAGACCCTGAGAAATCAGGAACCTCTTGCATCTGAAATGAGGTTCAGTTCTGAAATGAACACCAATGTGAAACAATCACGGCATTGACAACAGACAGACAAACTGATAGCCTCATTTTTGTTATTATAATTTATAATTGTCAAGTCATATATTGACAATACAAAAATGTTAGAAACCACAGAAAATACCCAGTGGCACTACCGCAGAATTAGTGAATTCCCTTCCAGTCCTGGGTGGGCCTTTGAGGTAAGGTCTGAGGAATGCTCTCCTGGTATGATGGTACAAAGCCCAAGTGGTACTTAAACTCCCCAATTGCTGTTTTTACCCCTACGGATCCAGCAAGGTTAGTCCGAACAGAGTCCGTCCCCTGTGACATCAACAACCCTCTGCGGAAGCCACCCCGGTATTCAGACCTGCACATCAGTCAGACGCTCCCCAAAACCAACAAAATCAGCAAGGTGAGGATGGAGTCTGCCGGGTCGGGGCATGCTGGGGCTGGGGGCACCTGGGCGGGTTGATCTGGGAATGTTGCCTCCACCCACAGCCCACTTGGGCTCCCCTAACCCTGCGTGAGCTGTGTCAAGTGAAGCTCGGGGGGCATCCAGCTCAGCGGAGAGTGCATGTGCCAGAACTCTGTCGGATTTCGAGAGAGAGCACGTGGAAATGAGAATGAATGAGTGTGTCGAGGAGGGCGTGGCAGGTAGAGCAGGAGAGCCTGAGTGGGGGGTTCCTTAGTGGTCTGGACCTCCCCCTCTTTGCTCTGTGAGATGTTCTGCCATCTGCTGAGATTAGCTTTGCAGATGGCTCTGGGCTTTCTGACACATCTGTTGAATCAAACCACCAAGAGACGAGGTCTATTTCTGAGCTACTTCTAGAGGATGGGTGGATGGATGTGTGGGGGGCCCCAAGCTCTGAGCCACAGCCAGTTTGGTTGGCTTCTGGCTGCTTCTTTCTTTCCAATGTGGCCTGGAAATTTCCAGCATGATTTCCACATCCTTTGTTTGATCTGTTGGTAAGACTGCACCAAAGCTATCCTAGAGGCACTTCTAGCCTTACAGCCAGAAGCAAAGGTTGCATGTGCCAACAGGTGGTTTTCCAAGCCCCATAATACTTTCATTCATTGTACTGAAGGTAGATAAGGTTCAGATCAACCCAAGCATGTAGGAAGTCACTCTATGCCTGTGTTCAGGATGCAGATGAGTATCGTGGTGGCCATGTGAGCTCTCACTGACAAGGCTCAATGTTGCTTGTCTGCATAAGGTTGAAGAGGGCTTGCCCCCTCCACAGTCTATTTCCCACACAGCAGCCAGAGTGATTCTTAATGAGTGTAATTTGAATCAAGTCACCCTCTGCATAAAAGCTGTTCAGTGTCTTTCTATTGTATTTACAAAATAAATCAGACTTCTGACTGCAGCCTGCAAGGCCATGCATAATTTGGCCCCTGCCTCCATCTCTGACCTCCCCTTCGATGCCTCCCCACTGAAGCCCATATGTTCTTTCTCTCTTCTGCTATCTTCCACCATTTTTACTACTAGATCTGTCATTCACCATCTGGTTCCATGTAGCATCATCTTAGCAGTTGGGAGCATGGCCTCTGAAGTCAGGCAAACCTTGCAGCCAATCTTGGCTTCCTCCACTTAGTAACTGTGAGACTCTGGTCTAATAACTTAATCTCTCTTAGCCTCAGTTTTCCTGTATGTAAAATGGGTGTATTCCAGTTATTTACCACTGCACAACAAACCACCTCAAACTTAGTAATATACATACAAAGTAACCCTTTCATTATGCTCATGGAGTCTGTGGGTCAGGAATTACCTAAGTGTCCATCAGTAGATGAATGGATAAAGAAGATGTTGTACATATACACAATGGAATATTATTCAGCCATAAGAAGAAAACAAATCCTACCATTTGCAACAACATGGATGGAGCTAGAGGGTATTATGCTCAGTGAAATAAGCCAGGTGGAGAAAGACAAGTACCAAATGATTTCACTCATATGTGGAGTATAAGAACAAAGAAAAAGAAAAACTGAAGGAACAAAACAGCAGCAGAATCACAGAACCCAAGAATGGACTAACAGTTACCAAAGGGAAAGGGACTGGGGATGATGGGTGGGAAGGGAGGGATAAGGGCGGGGAAAAAGAAAGGGGGCATTACAATTAGCATGTATAATGTGGGGTGGGTGCATGGGGAGGGCTGTACAACACAGTGAAAAGTAGTGATTCTACAGCATCTTACTATGCTAATGGACAGTGACTGTAACGGGGTTTGTGGGGGGACTTGTGAAGGGGGGAGCCTAGTAAACATAATGTTCTTCATGTAATTGTAGATTAATGATAACAAAATAAAAAATATATATATAAAATTAAAAAAAAGAATGCGTACAGTAGGGATAGTTTGTTTCTGCTCCATGATGTCTAGGGACTCAACTGGGAGAACTCACCCAGCTGGGAGCTGGAATCATCTAGAACAGGGATTGGCAAACTATGGCTTAGAGGACAAATCCAGCCCAGGACCTGTTTTTGTGAATAAAATTATATTGGAACAAGCCACACTCATGTTGTCTATGGCTGCTTTCACACTACAGTTAACAGTTACATAATTCTAACAGAGACCACATGACTCACAAAGCCTAAAATATTTACTGTTTGGCCATTTCAAGAAAAAGTTTGCCAACCACTGAGCTAGGGGCTCCTTCACTCACCTGTCTGGTGCCTGGGTGGGGATGAGTCAAAGGCTGGACTCTGTGCAGACTCAATGGGAGTCTCTACATGTGGACTTGCCCTGTGTCTTGGGCTTCCTTACAATATGGCTGCTTCAGAGTAGTGAGCTTCTGACATGGCAGCTCAGGGCTGGAAGAGTGACTGTCTTAGCAGACAAGGTAGAAATTGTGTGGGTTTTTATAACCTAGCATTATAAAAGCCCATCCAATGTCTTGGCTTGTCACTAGCTACGGGCTGGCAGTGTTGTTCTGCTACACAGATCTTCTTTAACTTGCAATGGGGTTACGTCCCAATAAACCATTGTAAGTTGAAAATACTGTTAAATCAGAATTGCACTTAAGACACCTAACTACTGAATGTCGCTGCTTAACCTAGCCTAACTTAAACATGCTCAGAACAATTACTTTAGCCTACAGTTGGGCAAAGTCATTAATGCAAAGCCTATTTTATAATAAAGTGTAGGATATCTTATGAATTTATTGTATACTCTACTGAAAGTGAAAAATAGACTGCTTCTGCGGGCGCAGAATGATTTAAGTGTATCAGTGCTTTACCCTCATTATCACATGGCTAACTGGGAGCTGAGGCTCACTGCCACTGCCCAGCATCATGAGTGAGGATCATACTGCATAATACTAGCTCAGGAAGAGATCAAAATTCAAAGTACAGTTTCTACTGATGTGCACCATTATCACATCATCATAAAGTTGAAAATTTGTAAGTTGAACCATTGTTAAGTTGGAGACAGTCTGTTTCCCACTGATGGAATTAGTCACAAGCCCACCCTGACCAGATTCTAGAAGAGGAGGCATAGATCCCACCTGTGGACGGGCAGAGTCCACAGAGTTTGCAGCCGTGTTGCAAAAGTCTATTGGGAGGTAATAAGAGCACCACCTTCAGAGAGTTGTTTTGGCATGAAATGAAATAATCATCATAAGAACACTTATGTAGTTCCTGGCACACAGTAAGTGTCCAGGGAATTGCACCTACTGTTACCTTAAAGTTGAAATCTTGGGCTTACAATCAAAATGTCAGGCTTGGTCCTCTTTTCCTTTGTTGTTTGCAAAAGATATCCCCACCTCTGGGGGGGTATGTTGGGGGCTCGAATGGAGAGGCTCCTGGGAAGTAATTGTGCATATGCCTACAGCCCATCCTTTCCTTTATGATGTCTTGTGGGCCAAGTTGCTCAGAGCCATCCTGAAACCTTTCTCTGTGGCTTTACAGCATCTTTATGTCAGATGGGACAGAAGCATGGGCCAGCTAGATCAGTGACTGTGACATTGTTCTGCTTGTCTGCCAGCAGAATTTGATAAGAGTAATAAATTAACCTCTATTTAGAATGCAGCTTTGACATGCAGGTGGACAGGATCTATCAGAGGGCTGAGTTATTTTTTTCCCCTCTTTCTCTTCTCACTGGCTTCATGCAGATGCTCTTTGTCAGGCTATGATGTGGTTAGTGCAATAGATTTCTGAGCCAATTTAGCTTGAAGACTTCCTTTTCATTGCTCTCTGTCTCCTTTCCTGTCTGGCTCGGTCAATCCAGGTTCACAAAAGCCCAGCTTTTTCAATCCTGGCTGTTTTTGAATATGCATTTCAGAGTCAGAAGGCTCAGGCTTGAAACTTAGTTCCTTCCCTTGTTATGTGATCACAGCAAGATCTCCCTGACTTGGTTTTCCCCGTGTTAAATGGGTAGTCTAATAGTAGCCATTACTGGGCTTGTAGGGATTGGATAGAGTGATAATGTGTAAAGGATTTCATCCGACCCTAGATACCTGGGCGTGGAATAGCTTGATGAAGAAGACAGAGAATGCAGAGGAGGAGAAAGGAAGAGTACGGAAGGAGGAAGGAGGAAAGGAAAGAAAGAAGGAGGAAGAGGGTGGAAGAGATGGAGGAGAAGGAGGCGCAGGAGACGTGGCCGCAACTGCCAACCCCTTAGGGGACCAGTCAACAATGCTCGTCCTTCCACATCAAGGCATCAAAAAGCCCATCTGCTGTGGTGTCCAAGGCTGAAGATCTGCCTGTTGCAGTGATGCTGTTTGAAGTGGCTGCATGCTGGCTTGCTCTTCATTGGGTTGCAAGGATCAGACACCGTCTAGGCTAGCTCAGCAAAAGGAATCGTCTATCATAAGAGTGGACACCAGGCAATAAGAGGAAGGGAAATCACACTTTAGGAGCTGGGCCTCATGAAACTAGACTTGGAGGACAGTCTTGCATCAGGCCAGCTCCTGGGCCTGCAGCAAGACCCTGGGACATTATTCTGGTCCTCCATCATGACTGTGACTCCGCTACTCTTTGTGGGTCTGCTCTGGTCTGTTACTGTTGACTGGCATCCACATCTTTACTCCCATCTTTTCTCTGTCATTGATATATAGTTCCTGCTGCTCATAACCTCAGCTGATTTGAGTTGAGGCTCAAATGGGCCTGTTGAATCTCATCTCCTCTCCACCTTTGCTCTTAATTCTTTCCACTATTCTTCCTGTTGACTCAGCTCATCTTTTTGTCCCATATCATAGGTCACTGACTAGCTGCTATTGTGTCCTGACCTATGATCCTGTGTTGGGAGTGAGCTATGGAGGTCACAAGACAAGTATGGCTATTTAGGACAGTCTATTCACTAAAGTCTATTGGGTTGGAGGGTGGGGACAGTTTCCTTAGGGACAGTTCAGATGAGAGGTAGTTACCATCACTGCCATGTCCAAATCACTGCACACCTGGGTGAAATGGGAATCGGGCAGATAAACATGCTTCTGTTTGATTCCCAGGGTCAGACGTGAGTTTCTGTTTCTGGGCTGGGAGTTGGGACCTGGATCACTAACTCTTTACGACCTCCGCACATCGCTCCTTCTGAGTCTTAGTGTCCTCCTCTACCGAATGAAGGGTTTGGGCTGGATGGTCTCTGAAGGATGTTTCCACATCTTAGCTGAGCTCAAAAGGGGAATTACACCTTTCTCTGCATGATCTGGTAGAGTTTGAGTTTCCCTCTGATGAAACACAAGCTCCAGCTGCTGGTCCCCTTGGGACACAAATCTGCCTGTGACTTGAGGAAGACTGAACAGTAGAAATTACACAGTCTGGATAACAGAAGGAAAATGGACTGAAAAAAATGAAAAGAGTCTCAGGGACCCTTGGGAAGATAATAAAAGGCATAGCATTCATGTCGTCAGAGCCCTGGAAAGAGAGGGGAAAGGGGGCAGGGCTGAAAAAGTTCTCAGAAGTATAATGGTCAGAAACTTCCCTAACTGGGCAAAAGACATAAAACTCTGTTCCTATTTTTTGGATTATGAAACAAATGCATATACCATATTCATGGATCGGAAGACTCAACATAGTTACGATGTCAGTTCTCTTCAAAATTAATATCCAGTGCCTGTAAGATTAATATCAAAATCCCTGTAAGAGTTTTTTTGCAGATGATGACAAGATTATTACAAAAGTCATGTGAAAAGGCAAAGGCACTTGATTCAGCTAAACACAATTTTGAAAAAGAATAAAGTGGGAAGATTCAGTCAATCCAGTTTCAAGACTTAGCCTAAAGTTAAGTCACCAAAACTGAAGGGGATACACAGATAAGCAAGTAAGCACATGAAAAGATCTTCAATATCATTAGCCATTAGGAAAATGCAAATTAAAACTACATTGACAATCACAACACTTCTATCAGAATGGCTACAATGAAAAAATAATGACAATTCTAAACACTGTCTAGGATGCACTCATACATTCCTGGCATAAAATGGTGCAGCCGTGCTACAGAACAGTTCGCATTTTCTTTAAAAACTAAACATGCAATTACCATATTATCCAGAAATTGCACTCCTGAATGTTTGCTCTTTTATTTCCAGAGAAAAAAAAACTTTTTTCCACACACATCCCTTACATGAATATATTTATAGCAGTTTTGTCCACAGTAGCCCACAGGGGAAACGACCTAGCTGCTGTGCAATGGGTGAGCAGTCAAACTGTGATACATCTGTATCACGGAATAGACTCTGCAAAAAATTAAAAATAGAAAAGGAACAAACCACTGATACATTCAGCCACTTGGATGAGTCTCCAGAGACTTACTCTCGAGTGCAAAAAGCCAGTCCAAAAGGTTACATACTGTATGATTATATTTATATAGCATTCTTGAAATAACAAAATTCTAGAAAAGAAGAACAGATGAGTGGTGCTGGTGGTTAAAGATGGGAGGAAGGGTTGGTAAGGAGAGAGGGAAGTGGGTGTGACATGGAGATCCCTGTAGTGACAGAAATGTTCTGTATCTTGACTGTATCAATTCACTGTCTGGGTTGTGATAAATTGTACTGTACTTTTGCAAGATGCTGTTATTGGAGAAAACTGGGTAAGGATGCATGGGATCTCTTGCTTTTTACAACTGCATGTAATTCTGCAGTTACCACAAAAAAAAGTTTGATTGCAAAAGTAAATACTGTCATCGACATAACTGCTACCATTTATTGATGACAAAGTGCCTCAGCCAATGCTAGGGGTGTAGTTACATACACAGCCTTATTCAAACTTCACAGCAGACCCATGAGGTGGGTGTTCTTAACCCACGTGAAGGACAAGGAGAGACTGAAGCTCACAGAAGTAGAGTCGCTGACGTGGAGGCGGGGTGACCAGTGGGAGGGAGTGGCTCGGGGTGGGTGCCATGCACAGCACAGGGCACACCCACGGGCATCTGGCTGGAGAAAGACCATTTCCCCTCCCTCCTTGCCCTCCTAAGTCGTTTGATGTTTGTTACACTGACTCCAGGGTTTGGCAAGTAAACACACCTGTTGACACATAACCAGGTGGCACAAAACCACCCATGGGCAGCTGGAGCCAATCTCAGCGAAGACCTCTGAATAAGGCAGGGACCAAGTGATCACTCTCCAGAAAGTACACACATTGAGGTGCCCCTGAGAACTCTTAGCTCTGCTGGCTTTGAGAGGCAGGGATCTCTTTTATATGATGTGGAGGTTTGCTAATAATATTCCCATTTTACAGTGGGCAAAACTGAGGAACGGAGAAGGTAATGAGGCATTTTGTCCAGGACGCATGGCAAGGAGGTGGCTCTGGGATTTGAGACTGGGTTTCCCTGACTCAGGGTTCTGCTTCTGGTAGTTTCCTGGGGCCGTAACAAAGTGCCACAAACTAGGTAGCTAAAAACAACAGACAGGTCAGGCTCCAGCTGACACAGGAGGGAGGACGCTGAAGGCTCGTCTCAGAGTCCCGGGGGTCAGAAGTCTGGAAACAGGTGTCAGCGGGGTTCGTTCCTTCTGGAGGCTGTCGGGGAGAGTCCGTTCCATGCCCCTCTCCTAGCCTGTGGTGGCTCCGGCAATCCCGGGTGGTCCTCGGCCTGTAGAAGCATCAATCCAGTCTCTACTTCCATCTGCACGTGGCCTTCTCTGCATGTCTCTCCTTCTCTTGTTCTTATAAGGACACTTGACATTGGACTTAGGGTCCATCCTGATGCAGAATGGTTTCATCTTGAGATCCTTACCTTAATTACATCTGCAAAGATCTTTATCCAAATCAGGTCACGTTCTGAGTCTCCAAGTGGACGTGTCTCTTGGGGGAACACTATTCAGCCCGCTGCACTGCTCCTAACGCCCCCCACCCCCACCCCGAGGGCTGTGCTGCAGGTGCACAGGTGGAGTCTGTCTCCCTCGTTGCTTAGAGCAGGCTCAGGGGCCCGGAGAAGCAGTGCTGGCTCCAGCTGACGCAGGAGGGAGGACGCTGAAGGCTCATTCTCGTCCTCTCTGTGAGCCGCCAGGCTGCCGATTCTTTAATAAACGCTCAGGAGGAGAGGTGTTAGGACGGGAAGAACACTCTGGGCACCGCAGCGTGCGACTTTCAAAATCAGGGAGGCACAGGGAGCGTCGCTGTCACCTGTGTGGCTTTGATTACGTGGTAACCTTTCATGCTGCAGTCCAGACAGTGGACAGGAATTTTACCTCCAGAAACTGTGCATTCCACAGCGGGCTGCAACCCGGGGCTGGGGGCAGGGAGCGCTGAGGAGGGAGGTGTGACTCTGGGAGGGCCTGGTGGTTGAGCAGGCCGGGGTCTTGCCCTGCTCAGTGCCCTCTCACTGCTGTGTCTCTGCTTCCCTGCCTGTTCCCTGGCCCCCGCCCTGTTTTCTTTCTGCAGGACCACATCCCCGTCCCTTACCAGCCCGACTCGAGCAGCAACCCCTCCTCCACGACGTCCTCCACACCCTCCTCACCAGCACCCCCGCTCCCTCCCAGTGCCACACCACCTTCTCCACTCCACCCTTCCCCACAGTGCACGAGGCAGCAGAAGAACTTCAACCTGCCAGGTACCTCCATGTCTGGGGGAGTCGCAGTGGGGTTGGTGTCCTGCCAGAACTCTGGCCCAGTCCATGTTTAAAAGCACTGGATCGAAGGCATGTGGGTTGCATCTGACCATATGCAGGGCAGTCGTCACCTGTACCCTTTCCGATCTTCAGAGGAACCACGAGGTAAGAATTATCAACTCCATTTTACAGAGGAGGACACTACGCTCAGAGAAGTAAAGGGACTCTTAAGAGACTCTGTCTTTTGTAAGCAGCAACCCAGTGCCTCCACCTAAGTCTAAGCCACAGGGGAAGCCATCCTGCTGTGGAGCTGGCAGCTATCTTAGGAGCCAAATTGGTTGGAACTGGCAGCAGGATCTTATGCTGAGGATCTCAGGGGCCACCTACCCAAGCAGGGCTGCATACTGAGATTTACCCCCGACGGCAGCACAGGGCTGTGAGTGAGTCGGCTGGAGTCCTGGATTCAACATCCAGCTCCGTTATGTTCCTGCCATGTGACCTCGGAGTTCAGCTCTCGCCTTCAGAAGGATGGGGGTGAGAGAGAGGACCCCAAAGGTGCTCCCGGCTCGTGAATCCCTGGGCGCTCGGCTGATGACCTGAGACTGTGCCTACGCTGGGGGATGCTAGCAAAGCCCCTCAAGAGCTGTCTTGGCTCGTTGGCCTCCTTTGTCAGTACACTTAAGAAAAAGACCTTTCTCTGCTCTCAGGAGGGCAGAACCTAAGAGTCTTCCATCCTCTTGCAGGGCTCAGAGCCCACGTCCTGTTCCAGGGCCCCAGGATGTTCCCAAGTTCAGCCATATTGTGGCACCACAGCTGACTTCGCGAGGGAGGCTGGTGGGATGCAGTCTGGCTTAGCCAGTTGGAACCAGAGTCTAGAACTGGGTTGTTAAACATGATACTCATCAGTTACACGTGGCTATTTAAGTGAATTAAAATTAAGTATAATTAAAAATTGAATTCCCCAGTCATGCCGGCCACTTTTCAAGTACTCAGTAGCCACCTGTGGCTGCCAAACTGGATACTGCAGGTATAGGAAGTTCCACTGGACAGTGCTGGTTGTGAGCTGATTTCCTCCTGAGCCAGTGGGCCCCGCACAGGGACACAGCCCCAGGTCCTTAGCCACAGGTGACACATCAGAGCCTGACCAGCCATGACTGAATGGCTGGTAGGCAAACAGAGGCCTGACCCCAGACCTGGGCAACTCCCTGACACAGCCACCCCTTTAAGGATAGCTGATCGTGTCACCTGCCCCCCAGTTTTGATCTGGGCCATTGCATAGGACAAGGACTTGTTCTGAAGTCCTGCTACCTTGGGATTTTTTTTGTTACATTCAAGCCTGAGGCGCCTCATATCTGTGTGGCGGCCACCAAGGACCATAATACGTCAGCAGCTGGAGTCATCTCAGGATGTGGCCCCCAAGTCAATTAGGCTAAAATTGCCCGGTGTGTCCACAGGCTGAGGGCTGCACTGCACCTCCTGCATGGTCCGTTTCCACGTCTCTGGAGGGGGCTGAATGGAAGAAAGACCCTTTGACATCCATGACCCCCAAGTTTTGGGGGAAGTGGGTCTGGGTGCTTTCTTAGAACTGATTCCAGCCCCATCCCCTAAGACACTGACTTGAGGGATATTTTCCCTGAAGCTGCTGCATGTTTACAAGGCAAGGCTGAGAAAGAACCTCTTTAGGGAGAGCCATGTGTCAAAGCACCACAGCTCTCTTTATGCCTGCATGACTCTGCTGGCATCTGTAGACAAGAGACCTGACTAAGCAGGGTGCTCACCATGTCCCTAGGCACCTTCATTCTCTCAGAGTCCCCAAGAAGGGGCCCTTGCCAATTTGCTGGGCTAGGCTGCCAGCGGATCAGCGCCTACTCCATGGCATGTCCCCACGGTGTCCTGACCCTCCTTTTGGGGAGTGGGCTAAGGGGTCCTTGGCAGGAAACCACTTTACAACAACAGTTAAGAGTATGGGCTCTGGAGCCAGGCTGCTTGGGCTCAGTCCCAGCTCTGCTCCTTAGTATCTGCATGATGTTCAGCCAGGAGCTTACCTCTCTGTGCCTCCATTCCCTCATCTGTAAAATGGGGATGATAATAGTATCTACTTGGTAGAATCACTGAAGGCCCACACATCGTCATACATGTACAAAGCTTAGCAGAGTGCCTGTCTCTTCGAAGAGCTCAACAAATGCCAGCTCTTGCCATGATAATTACATAAACACAAGAATAACAAATTACCATGGCTGCCATTTGGGATATTTCTCATCATCACTGCTAATTAATATGGGCCTAACCCAAATTGTAGAAATAAAGATGAAATCCTCATGAACCCCGGCGTTGGGAGATTGAAATGAATTAAAGCTTTTGGGAAGGTACTTTAGCATTTGTTTGTCAAAATTCTAAATGAACATTCCTCAGACCAGCAATATCACTTCTAAGACTGTATGTACAGAAATGCTTGCACAGGGCACAGGGATATTTGTGTGTGAGGATTTCATTCCCAGCACTGAAGAATTTGGATTCAGCCCAAATGCCTACCATGGGAGGAAAGTGTGAATACACTGCAATGTATCTGTATAACCAGATACTCAGCCACCCTTCAAAAGAATGGAGTAGCTCTTTGTAGATATCCTGACATGGAGAGATACCCATATCTTTCAAGTGGAAAAAATAAGGGATTTGCAAAGCAACTGGTATAATAACATCCTATTTATTATAAAATAATTATATGTCTTTGTATATGTATGTGTGTATATATATATTTGTATATGTGCAAAAATGACTGCAAGAATTCATGGCAGCTGTTTCTAAGAAGAGGAATTTATTTTATGCACTTCCGTAGTGGATATCTTAACAGGGAACATGCTCCAGTTTTATAATTGAATAATAATAAAATGCAATGTTGAAATGGAAGACAAACTAGGACCTCCTGGAAGAGCAGCCAGACTTTCCCCAGTGTTAGGAGATTTTAATGAAATTACCCCAGGGTGACAAGTGCCTGTCCTGTTCCTACAAGGGCCTCGTCACCTGTCCCTCTCTTGACTGAGCCTCTATAGACAGGAAGTGGAGCTTGGTTCTGGTTCCCTGCCAGGTACTGAGTTTTCTGAAGACTGTTCAAGCTAATGCCTAGGCATAACAATGTCCTCGGAATTGATTGATCTAGAACATTCTTTTCCAAAATGGGCGTCGGCTCACTTGTTAGCCTCAGGACATGTGAAAGAAGAGTCTTCAGTTAGAAAACCAATGGCAGGCACAGGCTTGGCAGGATTTGTGACTGTGCTCTGCCAGGTGGGGTGACCTGCTTGTTCCGTGCCATTGCCTCTGAATCCCGGTGTCATGCTGGGTGTGGCAAGTGTAGGGTGGGGTTAAGAGAGCTACATGGACAGGTTGACCTGGGTTTGGATCCCAGGTTTTTCCCTTCTTATCTTCTGGCCTTGAGTGTGGCACTGACTCTGCTTAGGTCTCGGTTTCTCATCTCTGAAATGGGGCTGATGACACAGGCTTGTGTGACGTTTGCTGTGGCGAGACACATGAAGGGGCCTTGTAAGGCCTGTTGTATGGATTTCTGAGACTGGACTATTCAAATACCTTCCTCTTTCCTTGGGGCCACCAGGCGTCATCCTGACCCACCCACATGCACAGCAGGAAATGGCAAAATGGCCCAAAAGAAGAAAACAGGAGGCAGAATTGGCCTTTGGTGGTGATTGCAGGATTTTCAAGATTTCACTGGGGCTCACAAAAGAGTTTCTCCTGCTTCAGAACCTCCCACCTCCCCTCTTATAGTTCTGGAGGTCACAGGTGCAAAGTCAGTGTCAATTTCTTCTATGTAATTTTTTCCCTAAGTAGGAAGAATAATGATCCCCACAGATTTACAGAATCTGTGAATATATTACTTTAAAGAAAAAGGAACTTCACAGATTTGATTGAGTGAAGGATCTTGGGGTGGAATGATTTGCCCTGGATTATCTGATGGACTCTACATTTTAAGCCACAAGGATCCTTAAAAGAGGGAGGCAAGAAACAGTTGCACGAAGAGATGTTCCACATCGCTAATCCTCAGGGAAATGCAAATTAACACCGCAAGGAGATATCACCTCACACCAGTCAGGATGGCCACCATCCAAAAGGCAAACAACAATGAATGCTGGCGAGGATGCAAGAAGGGACAACCTTCTACACTGTTGGTGGGAATGTAAATTAGTTCAACCATTGTGGAAAGCAATATGGAGATTCCTTAAAAAACTAAAAATAGAAATACCATTTGACCCAGGAATTCCACTTTTAGGAATTTACCCTAAAAAAAAAAACACGATCCCAGATTCAAAAAGACAGATGCACCCCTATGTTTATTGCCCCACTATTTACAATAGCCAAGACATGGGTAAACATCCTAAGTGACCATCAGTAGATGAGTGGATAAAGAAGATGTGGTACATATACACAATGGAATATTATTCAGCCATAAGAAGAAAGCAAATCCTACCATTTGCAACAACATGGATGGAGCTAGAGGGTATTATGCTCAGTGAAATAAGCCAGGCGGAAAAAGACAAGTACCAGGTGATTTCACTCATTTGTGGAATGTAACAACAAAGCACAAACTGAAGGAACAAAATAGCAGCAGACTCACAGACTCCAAGAAGGGACTAGCAGTTGCCAAAGAGAAAGGATTGGGGAGGTTGGGTAGAAGGGATTAACGGGCATTATGATTGGCACATATAATATAGGGGGGACATGGGGAAGGCAGTATAGCAGAGAGAAGACAAGTAGTGACTCTATAGCATCTTACTATGTTGATGGACAGTGACTATAATGGGTTATGTGGTGGGAACTTGATAATAGGGGGTATTACAGTGACCACAATGTTGCTTGTGTGAACTCTTTATAAGATCATGTATCAGTGATACAATTGATGTTCTCTTTCTCTTGCAAGCATCCCACTACTACAAATACAAGCAGCAGTTCATCTTTCCAGGCGAGTTCTGTGCGGGCTCGGCCCCTTCTGAGCCAGCCCTTTGAGGGGTGGGAGTGGCTGGAGGGGATGGAGGTAAATATTGGAGTGGACATGTTCAGAGAGGGTGGTGGTGGAATTAGCAGAGCCCAGGGTAATGGCTGGCCGTGGAAATGGACAAGAATAGGGTGGGAGGTCCCAAGGGCACAGTGCTGCGAGGGAGATCACGAGACACAAGGGAAAGGCTTGAGAGGTTGTCTGCAGTGGGAGGGTGGACACAGGTGAGGAGCGGTCCAGAGCCACGTGGCAGGGGACAGATGGCAGAGGGGCTGGGTGGGCACTGGGGGATGTGCACATGAGTGGCTCATCATCCCAAAGGGAACTCTGAACTCTTGGTTCAGAGATGACAGTAGGTGCTCAGGCCAGAGGCTGGGGGTTGGTTCCCAGCAGCCCCCTGGTTAACAGTGGGGAATTTGGTTCAGCATGTCTTCTCGAACACTGTGGCATCTGAGAAGGGGAAGGTCAAGTGGTCAAGGGAGGGAGAGGGGACTGGCTGCTGCGGGGACCCATCATCTGTTAGACGTTACCAGCTGCCGCATCTCCCAGGAAGCAAAGGCCTTGGGGGTGGTCATGGAGTCCACGTTTGACTTCTGACAGTCTAATCCCTGTCACTCAGATGTGGTACCAGTACCAGAGACACCAACCCGGGCGCCCCAGGTCATTCTGCATCCAGTGACCTCGAATCCAATGTAAGTGGAACAGGGACCTCCTCCCCCTGCCCTGGACCCTCAGGCTGCTCAGGATCCCCTGCCCTGGACCCCCAGTCCACTCAGGATCCCCTGCCCTGGACCCTCAGTCAGCTCAGGATCCCCTGCCCTGGACCCCCAGTCCACTCAGGATCCCCTGCCCTGGACCCTCAGGCTGCTCCGGATCCCCTGCCCTGGACTCTCAGTCTGCTCAGGATCCCCTGCCCTGGACCCCCAGTCCACTCAGGATCCCCTGCCCTGGACCCTCAGGCTGCTCAGGATCCCCTGCCCTGGACCCTCAGGCTGCTCAGATCCCCTGCCCTGGACCCTCAGGCTGCTCAGATCCCCTGCCCTGGACCCTCAGTCAGCTCAGGATCTTTCCTCCTCTTCCTGAAGCTGATGGGGTGGAGATGGAGGGAGAAGTACGAGGGGAACAGAGAAACACAGGGAATGACCGCACAGAAGGGGAGTGCGCAGCCCAGGCTGAGAAAGGCGACACTGGCTCCCACGAGCCTGCCCTGCCTCGTGTCCCTGGCTCTGCCTGTCAAGTGTGATTTCCAGGGGTTGGACCATTTCCTTAGGACCCCAGACGCTTCTATGATCAGAAAGACAACTTTCCCCAGGTAATAGCTAGAGCTTAGTGAAAGGGTGTTATTCTACATCACTGTCCCCCCCTTTAAAAAGTATAATTCATGTTTATACCAGGGATCCGCAAACTACAACCAACGAACAAATCCAACTTGCTGTTTTTATAAAGTTTTATTAGAACACAGCCGTGCCCATTTGTTTATAATGTACCGTCTGTGGTGGTTTTCAAACTACAACCATAGAGTTGAGCAGTTGCTGTAGAGACCACGTGACCCACCAAGTCTGAAATACTTTCTGGCCCTTAACAGGCAAGTTTGCTGACTTTTGGTTTATACCATTATAAAAATAACAGGAGCTAATTTTGTAAAATTTGGACTATCCTGTAAAAACAGAAAGGAAGAACAATCCATCATAACTACACCACTCTTAGAACTTCAGTGTGTGCTCTTTCTATTCATATGTTACATACCTGTGATTCACGATATAGTTTCCATCATCCTTTATCCCTTAATGCTATAACATTCCATGTTCCATTGTTCCAGACTCTTCATAGATAGACATTTTTTTAGTGACTATAAAATATATCATATTGATGGAGAATCATTTCCTTAACTATTTCCTAATTGCCAGCTCTTCCATCTTCCCGTACTTCACTGTTATAAACAATGCTACAACATACATCTTTGCGTGTGGTACCTTTGGCATCCTTGAGATACAGACCCTCCTTCCAGGTGGTCTATCCCTTTGCAGCCAAAGTGAGATCACTTTCCTTAACTTCTTTGGTTGTGACTGAAGTTGGGGGCACACCAGAGACTAATTTCAATTTCACTGTTTTCCTAGCTCAAGTTTTTGCCCACTTAGTTTTCTTTCTGGTTCCCCTAACTGCTCCATCCATTCTAACCCATGTTCTAGATTTTGTTAAGGACCCAAATGGTATGTCTCTGAAATGAAAGGCACAGCAATTTGCCGGGGACATGGTGCTGACATCTAGCTCCAGATCATTTCTCTGCTGCACATAAACCAATTCCACAATTTGTGCAAGACGAACTCCAGGTTATTAACTGACAGTCAGGGAGCACCAGTGAAAAACAGACTCAATAGCTGCCTGCAATCTGCTTAAATGTGCGTGAAGTGATGGGAACGAACTCTTTGCAGAAGGGAAATAATTGAATCGCCCTGACTGCTGTAATCACGCCTTGATGCAGGCAGAGGGGGGCTGCCTGTTCTGTTGTTGGGTGTAAGAAGGGACTCCAGCTGGATTGTTCCACCCAAATCTCCCCCAGGCACCAAGTTCACAGCATTTCAGCTATCATTGTGCGATTTCATTCTGCCTTCCCAGGCTGTACTATAAATAATTGGTTAATAAGAAAGAAAACACCACTTTGTTAACTGATCCTTCTTTCCCCTTTCTTGCCATCTTTTAGACTCCCTGCCACCACTGCCAGCAAGTGAATTGACTCTGTCTGCAGGGTCAGCCGCTTCCTGGGCCCTGAGGCTCGGGACAGGGGCGGGTACCCCAGTGAATGGGTGGATGGGGGCATCTGCTGAAGAAGAGGCACAGTGTTCATCGTGATTCCTTCCCCCCCCGAATCCCACTCTTTCTGTGCCTTCAGCAGCCCAGTTACTGTCTCCCACTGCACTCCAAAAACACAAACACATCCTCTACTCCAAACACCTGAAAACCCCTCAAACACTGTGCCCTACACCCCATCACGTACCATGTACTCCGAGACGCCCCTCCACCCAGATGCACACCCCAATACACCATCAACATGGCATGGCTCCAACATCCATGTGCACAGAACCACACCTGCACAGACACAACCCATAATACCCACCACTACTCAATATGCACTTAGTACTCACACACACACACTGTGCCCCAGCACCCATGCTGAGTGTTCCCGAACTCAGAACACCCCTGCAGCTCATGAAGGCATCACTCGTGTGTGCACACACGTGCCCGCAGAGGCGTGTACACATGCACCCCGTGCCCTCCAGGCTCGCTTCCTCCTCCTCATTCTCACTCCACACATCCTCATTCCATGTGACTGGAAAGGTGCAACACAAATGCTGTGAACTTTTAAATACTTCCAGTAATCCTCTCTGCTGGGAATTCCCATCACCCTCCAGTTATTCAGTTCATAGCTGGCTTTTGGTCCCTGGCACTTCTAGCCTTTCTGCACAGTATCTGTGTAATTTATGTTCCTTAGTAACAATTCAATATTCCTTAAAATCAGGAGGCAGGCCATTTTCAACTCTATATCCCTCAAAGGGCCTAGCACTGTTCCTGGCCCATACGGGTTTCCCCTGCCCTCCAAAAGTAGAGCGTTCCTCGGAAACCTTTTGCAAGCCAAAATGGTGTAAAGCAAAGAAACAATAATCATTCATTCATATGGAAAAAATTTTGAAGGTTCCCAGACCCCAAAAATAACCTCTCAGGCTTTTCTGATACTTTAGGACACATCTTGCTAATGGATGCACAAAATAAACCAAGATAAAGCCCAGACATAATTCAAAGCTCTGGTAGCATGTCGCTGAGTGTAGTTTCCAGGGAAGGAGCTTGGTGGGGCCACCCTCACTGCTCGGAGGGTGCGGTTCCTTTATAACAGCTCCCTGCAAAACAGACACCGTGAGATTTTTGCTTTTCACCCTTTTTTCATAAAAGTAAAAATCCTCTTCAGCTTTATTTCAATCAGTGGAAACGGGTTCTTTCATAAAAGCAAAACGGTGAAATGAGAACTTCAGTAAGCAAGGGATCCCTGTGATTCTAATTAAATCAAAGGAATAAGCAAACAGGCCAACTCTAAGGCCCTCCCTTAAGACTCCAAACCCGCGTGAGCTTTAGTAATCTGATCGATTCTTTCCTAGCGAACACCGAGAGCTCTGAGGATACTGCCACCCGTGGCACTTACGACAATGTGTAAGGAAGTGGCTAGACTAGGGGAAGCCAAGCAGTGAAGAAAAATGAGCCCCAAGCAGCCCAGAGAACCTATTTAAAACAATGTCCTTGCACACTTCTTCATGGCGACGTTACAGATTATTTTAGGCACAAGCGCTGGAGTGAAGTTCGAGACAAAGGCCGGGTGGTGAGGATTTATGTATCATTTTAGGACTCTTCATGCACGGATAAACTCAATACACAGACCTTCCTTTTCACCTAAAGGTCACATTTTCTTTCTTTCTTTAAAGCTTGGAAGGAAATCCGTTACTTCAGATTGAAGTGGAGCCAACCTCAGAGGTGAGAATCAGAGTGAAGCAGCTCTTTCTAAGGGCTGCTCAGAACTCGGCAACACCAGCCGGTGTCTTTAATGATGCAGAGGGCTTGAGGCTGGTGGGGCTGCAGTGGCCCTGTTTGATGGATGTTCTAACTCCGGGACGACGAGCAGGCAGGACCCCTCCTAGCACCGAGCCTAAGGGGCCATTATATAGCTCATATCATGGAAAAACTAGTTGTGCAGAAGTTGGCAAGACACGTGCATTCTTGGTTGGAAAATCCGTTTAGGGCCTGGTGAATACCAAGGGGGATGTGCCACACTGCCTTCAAAAGAATACCTGGGAGAAGGTAGTGGCCTCAGGGACATTTGGCTTGGTGGAGGGCTGAGACTGTTCTGGGGTTGCTTCTCACCTGTCAGAGCCCCTAGAGAAATAAATGAAGTATCCTTGGTGAGAACCAGGAACTCACCTACCAGTGTGTCCTGAGCTGGGAGGACTACAGTCAGGGTTTCCAGAGAAAATCGTGTACTTTTCCTGCAATTCAAGTGGTATTTGAGACACTATCTTAGGGGAGGCTGGTGTTGCCTGTGACATTCTCCTGAGCATGCTATTGGGGACGGCTTGCTTAAGTTTGGGGTCAGGAGGACCTGCAGCCTTCTCAGGCCCTCTCATCAGGCCTCAAGCCTCTGGGCTTGCACCCGGCCCAGGGCACCTGCCACTCCCACACTGTGACGAAAGAATCAAGGGCAGGGTGCCCGCAACCCCCAGCACGAACAGACACCAGCTGGGGGGTGGGCACCAACACCTTGAGTGCTTAGCTACTGTGGTGGTCATGCCTACATGTACCTGAGTCGTGGGGCCACGCAGGATATGCAGACTTCTGGGCTGCTCATAGTCCGATTCAGTAGATAGCTGGGAGGGTTGGGAGGGACGGGGATCTGCATTTCCTCAGGCATCCGATCAGATGTTTCGTATAGGTGCTTCGGTCCGTTCAAAGAACTTCACAGGCCTTCACCTCATTGAAAACCTCATGCCACCTCCAGGGACCAATTTTATTAGCCCCACTTTATGATGAGGAAAGGAAGACTCAGAGAAGTGGTAACTTGCTCAGGATCACACAGAGGCCAGATTCTAGCTCATCTGGTCTGGCCGTTAAGCCCATCCTGCCCACGTCTCCTGTGCCCCCAGCCATGTTGCTGCAGAGGAACCCCTGGCCTCTGGCCTGTGCAGAGTAGCTCTGATCTCTCCCAGTTTCTGATCCATCAATTCCCAATTCCTCAGAGGAAGTAAAAGGCATTCCATACGGTTGTCACATGTCCTAGATAGGCACATGGTGTGCCCATATTTTAGCCTGTTGCCTTACACGTGTGCAAATAGGCAAGTGAACGCATCACGGTAGGTAGGAGAGCATTGGATATTAGCAGCTGGGCTGCCTGAATCTGAATCCCAGCTCTGCCTGGCTGCATGACTGAGAGTGAGGAACTTCCAGGGGTGACTGTCCATCCCCATTTGCCAGGACTGAGGGGCTGCCCAAGGGGACCTTCAGTGCCCAGACCAGGAAAGTCCTAGCAAACCAGAAGGGATAGTTTTCCCAGGATTTCTCCTCTCTAAGCCTCAGTTTCCCCCTTAGCACAAGAGAGTTGGAATTCCGTGATCTGCCTTTCAGCTCCTTCATTGTGTACGATTCTAGGGAGAGAGCTGTGCGTGCCAGCTGTAGATGCCCAGTGACACGTCCAGACCCACACATGCACAACAGGACCCAGCATGCCCTGGTGGGAAGGTGGGGCAGGAACAACTCTGACCTCTGTCCCCCCTCCCGGCCACAGAATGAAGAGGGCCACGATGAGGCCGAGGAATCAGAGGATGACTTTGAGGAGATGAACCTGTCCCTCCTGTCGGCCCGGAGCTTCCCACGCAAGGCCAGCCAGACCAGCATCTTCCTCCAGGAGTGGGACATCCCGTTTGAGCAGCTGGAGGTCGGTGAGCTCATCGGCAAGGGCCGCTTCGGGCAGGTGTACCACGGCCGCTGGCACGGAGAGGTGGCCATCCGGCTGATTGACATCGAGAGGGATAATGAGGAGCAGCTGAAGGCCTTCAAGCGGGAGGTGATGGCCTACAGGCAGACGCGGCATGAGAATGTCGTGCTCTTCATGGGCGCCTGCATGAGCCCGCCCCACCTGGCCATCATCACCAGGTCAGTCCTGCCCAGGCTTCCCACCCGGGCATTCATTTCGGTGCTGTGCTTCTAGCAGAGCAGAGAAATGGGTTCTGGTTAATTCAGTGTTCTGGGGAATAGAGTGTCTCTTGCTCTACCAGTCACAGCTTATACAGTTTTGAGATTTGAGATTCCAGAAAATACTTTTAATGGTAACTTTGGCAGAGCAGCGCCATGGAAAGAGCGCTGAATGGGGAGTTAGAAAAGTTGACTCTAGACTCCCCTGTGCTCCAGGTATTTGTGAAAATCTGAGACTCACTTCCTGCATTTTTTAATTGAATGGGTTAGACTGGACCAGAGGTTGGCAAACTGTTTCTGTAAAGCACCCAATACTAAATATTTTTGGCTTTATGGGCTATATAGTTTCCATAGCGACTGCTCAACTCTGCTACTACAGTGTGAAGGCAAGATGTAAATGGAGGATGTGTGTGGCTGTGTGCCAATTAAACTTTATTTATAAAGCCTGGCAGTGGGCTGGATTTGGCCCTCTGGCCCTAGTTTGCCAGGCCCTGGACTGAAAGGCTGATGACTGTTATTCCAGCTTTCACAGGGCCACGGGCAAAGCACATGAGCAGGGCTTTGCTGTTATTGTTTTAAACATCCGGGATCCATGATCTATAGCTGCACCGAAGGGGTATTTCTTAGAAACCGACATTAAGAAGATGTCAGATGCTAGCAACTTTCTTGGACTTGCCATCTCCAACCTCTCCCAGTGACATGGGGCATTGAATAAAATATAGCTTTAGTTTCCGGTGAACAGTTGTGCAACAATCCTCTGGTGTGTTTATAAACTCTGGCAGTTGCTCCCCTGTGGCAGTAGCGCTGGCCACAGGGCAGTGTTCTTGGTATGGCCTGAGATGCCAGGAGTCGGTCAGGAGCTCTCATCTTCCCAAACTCAAGGAATAAATCCCAAATACACAAGCCTTGCATCTTGACAGGTGCCACAGCAGGAGCTGTGGACTCAGGGAAGAGCTGGTGTGTCTTTGATGAGTTCCCTTGTGAAACAAAGGCCCCTCAAGTCCATTTAGAAGATCTTGATCACCAGAAGGTGTATTATTGTCTGTCACCATTGACTGTGCAGGCAATGTGTTCACAAAGGATTAGAAGTGTAGGCATGGCTCTTCAGCCATTAAATCAGGCTAAGAAGGTAGTTCTCAACTCTGCACAGAAGTGACTCTCAAATCATCAGCCCTGATAATATTCAGGGGCTGAGCTGTCCTAATGAGGTGGGTATATCAGTAGGTTTTTGCTGAGGAGCAAACTACCTCAACACTTCATAGTTTTTCTCTGTTCTCTAGCCAGTTCTATACTGAGTCAGGCTCAGAAGTAGCTGGGCCCTTGGATGTGTCTGTGGTGAGCTGGCGGGTCACAGTGGGGCCTGGTCAGTCTGGGATGCCCTCACTCAGGTGTTTGCAGGTCAGCAGCCTGTCCGCTGGGTCCTCAGCTCTCGTCCACATAGCCTCTCACGCCCCAGCTGGCTAGCTCCGGCTCATTCCCGTGGTGGTCTCACGGTTCCAAGTGCAGCAAGAAGTCAAGCCCTGATAGACAAGTGCCTTTTACACCTCTGTGTCACACTGACTAATACGCATTGGTCAAAGCAAGTCATGGGGCCAGCCTAGATTCAAGAAAACGGACTCTCCCTGTGCACAGGAGGATTTGCAGGGTCATGTTGCAAGGGCGCGGATGCAGAGAGGGACAATGTGTGGCCATTTGCACAGCCTACCACTGCAAGACCCTCCGCTTCCTCGCCTCCTCCCTTTCTGATCCCGTTACGTATCATCTTCGTTAGCAGTCAGTCAATTGCCCTTGCATTGGGGTGCACAGGTCTGGTTAGAAGGTGGTCTCCCCACCGCTGGCCTTCTTGCCCACTGTCCCCACCAATCTGGTACTCCAAATTCCTCTCTGGTCACCTCCTCACCTCCTGGCCTGCTAACCCCTCTTTTTTACAATCCCAAATTAGAAATTTGAAATTCGTCATCTCCTTTCCTTCCTGCCTGGCCCCTTTCAGGACTCCTGCCTCCCACCTTCCAACTTTTTCCATGTTTAGATTGGAGACTTGTTACCTATCCTTCCTCATCCCTTTCCCAAGGGCTGGCTAATTGGAAGTGGATGAATTCACTTAGCAGCCATCCTTGAAAAACGAGTGGTCATTATGAAAATGTGTTGCTCATCCCGCAAGCCAGCTGCGTTTGTAGCCCTTTTCTATTATACACAAAATTCTGCGTCCCCCTCCCCAAACACCATAACTGCCTGCAGATTTCACAAATAGCGCAGCCTTTTCCTGGCACCATGATAAAGACTCTGCAGCTTTGGGACATGTAATTGGTCTCTGAAGTGTTTTGGTATTTTGTATGAAGAAGCCAGATGAGCCCCAAAGAAGTGTCATCTATTCCATATTATTGTGTCATTATATGTTTATCTAAGGGAGGGGCTCTGTGCACCTTTCTCCTTCAGCTCTGTCCACTTACTGGCCATCAGATCTCTTATCCGAACATCTGGTTTGAAACCAAATATTTGAGTAATTTGATTAATCACTCCCATTCACACAATTGGCTGGCAGAGGTCGATGGTTGGGCAATAGCCAACCAACTGGAACAGTTTTTGGACCCTGGGTTTATTTTACAGGGAACAGAAGACCAGATAATTACCTGGCATATTCCAGATAAATTCACAATGGCGTGTTCTAGCCAATTACTTAGTAATTATCAGCGAAGTTAACAAGTATTTCTAAGATTAGCTTTCTTGTAATGCAATGTGTATGGCTCTTGGGAAATGAGTAATAACCAACTAGTTACCCAATTGCTATATCCACAAATGCAATTAGCAGCAGGATGCTAAATCGTTTTACGATGGGGTCATTATGAGATTATTGCAAAGCTATGGACAGTGTGCATAGTCACTCATTTTAAAGACTCCAAATGGAATTTGAAAGGCAATAAAGATAGAGTTGAATGAAGACATCTCTTGTCCTTCTAGCTTGCTGCAGAGTTTCCTAGGCCTCAGTTTCCCCATCTGGAAAATGAGGAGGTAGATATGGGTATTTGTTGCAGGGTCCTTCCAACTCAACAAAATTCTTTAGCTCTCTGAGAATGGGAAGCAGCCTGGGGCAGCTCCGGAGCTGTGCTTCCCAGAGGGCAGTCCACCAGATCTCCTACATCAGCACTGGAAAGGGGGGAAGGTCACTGAACAGGTTCCTGGGTGCTACCTAGGTGTTTCCTAGAGCTGTCGTAACAAATCCGCACACGCTCGGTAGCTTAAAATAAGACACATTTATTGTCTTATAGCCGTGGAGGTCAGAAGTCTGCAGTGGGTCTCACTGAACTTAAACAAAATCACAGGGCTGTGTTCCTCTCTGAGGCTCTAGAGGGGATCTGTTCCTTGCCTTTCCCGACTTTTAGAGCTGATTCCTTGCATTCTTTGGCACGTGGCCCCTTCCTCCTTCTTCAAAGCCAGCAGCGTAGCATCTTGCTTCCACTGTCACATAGCCGCCTTTGTGGTCACATCTCCTTATAAGGATATTGTGGTTGCGTCCAACACCATCTCTCATTTCAAGAAGCTTCTACAAAGTCACTTTTGCAGTTACAAGGTAACTTTCACATTTTCCAGGGATTAGGACCTAGCTATTTTGGGGGGCCATTTTTCAGCTTACCACATCACCCTAGAGCTAATGAGTCAAGTCTATCTATAGGTAGAGGCATTTCACCCAAGCCCCCTGCCCATTCCAACCTGAGTCGTATTTGGGCACCATGCCCTAGAGAAAATCGCCAGGGAGTTCCTTTTCTGTCCCCAGCATGGGTGCCACATGTGTCCAGCTAGTACAAAGGGAAATGGAAACAGAGAAGTTTTGTGAGCACAATAGATCAGACAGAATCATAAAACAATTAGGATCTCAGTGAGTGGTAGTTTGTTATTTATCTGTTTTTCAGCTTACTGCCATGGAGACAAAGATAAGGCAAAATGCTGAAATTGATGTCTCAGAGAGGACGGTGGTAGGGGAATCCAATCCCAGTGAACCCATCCTGGCCGTATTACAGACGTGGAGACTGAGACCAGGAAAGGAAAGTGGGGCCAGGACAAGGACACAGGTCTCCACTGATACACCTCATCCTCCCTGAATTCATTCATTCAACCAACAGATATTAGTAAACACTTATTAAGTACCAGACACTTTGCTGGATACGAGAGCAAGACAGCCTAGGTCCTAGTAGGTGCTAGTGCTACAGGAGTAATGAGGTAGTTTGAGGAGGCCCCAGTGTGTTGAAGGTAACAAATCAAAGATAAGTGCCAAGAAGGACTTGGGCATTAGGGTTAATTTAGGTGTGTGCCTGGAGGCAGGGACGCAGCCTCTCTGAAGCAGTGGTATTTGGGCAGGGACCGAAATGCTAGGAGCCAGCTCTGCAGATGCAGGAACAGGCTCATCCAGCGGAGGGAACAGCAAGTGCAAAGGCCCCAGGGTAGGAATGAGCATGGACTGTTTGAGACCAGAAAGAAGACTGTGGGCGGTGAGGGAAAGAGGGTGGGTGATAAGGGTAAAGAACTCGGCATACCCGTTCCTATAGCCGCCTCTCAGCCTCAGCACTGTGAGCCTTGTGGTAGGAAAACTCACATAGGGGGCTGTCCTACCCATTGAAGGATGTCTGGCAGCATCCCTACCTCCTACTCACTAGATGCCAGTGGCACCAAGCCCCTGGTTTGTGACAACCAAAAGTGTCTTTAGATATCACCAAATGTCCCATGGGGCAAAGTCAGCCGAGTTGAGAGCCATTGGCCCAGAGACTCTAATTAGCCTGGATGGGGCACAGGCCTCAGTACAGAACCTGCCCCATGTGACTCCACCAGGCAGCTGGGATCCTCTATTGGAGGACCATAAAGCCTGGTGAGAGGGGTAGATTTTGTGTAAGGGCAGCAGGCAGCAGGATTTTGTGCTAATGGTTGCAGGCAGGGGCAGTACCTGATGCCTTTGGACGCAAAAACTGGATAACTTCCAAAACAAAGGGTGGGAGAGCACTGATAGCCACAGAGGCGACCCAATGC